CTTTGTGTCCATCCTTACGTCGACAACAGTCAGTAAGTGTTTGATCATAAGGTCATAGGCTTAGTCGGCGCTCTGCGTCCTAAGTTTGTGATACAACTGCACATGGACTAATTGCTCCTGGGGGTGAGTGGACGTCCACAATTGTCATGAACATGATCACTGCTGACACCATCATTCCCGCATATCCGACTCACATTCAGCAACACCTTGCCTTTTGCTCTCCCACCATCAAAGGTACCCAACTCAGAGTCGCTGCAAAGGGGAAATATCAGGGACGAGAATTCACCTTCTATGATGGGGGGCCAATCCTCTTGTCATCGCTGGGGCTGCCCTGACTGGCAATGTCTCTTCTTCGACAGCAGTTGTTTGAACCTTGCATTCGATAGCATTCGCATCCAACCCCCTGAACTGGTGTCGATCTTGTGGTGCATGAGCGATTCGCAGTGCAGTGATACATGTATGGTCAGAGCAAAGGGACCCATAGTGTTTGCCAGTTCAGTAGATGAGATAATGGCAGCATTCGACGGTGTATATGAATGGCATTTGCACATGCCCTGCGACGAGCTCTGTGTTATTTGGAACCGGCGCCCGGCGCCTCTTCACCCAAGTTCAAGGAGTGCATCCCCTTTGCTGCCTCGTGCGTGTGAATCACGTGGGTGCTGATGAGCGCTGGTAGCTTCGAATTCGCCGATGCTGTGCCCGCCTGTTCGAGCTCGGCGTCCCCACCTCGCAGTTCGTCGCCTCAGAGCCGTGGATCATGAAGAGCACCGATGAGAAGTAGATGTTGACCTGCAGACGTCGCCGGCAGCACCAAGGTAGATGCGTGTGCTACACTACAGCCGCATAGTGGTCGTGTTGTACGTTTCCAGTGCTCATCTTACTTTTCTGCTGGGTGCACCCGAGTGTACCTTCTTGGCTTGTGTGCGGGGGATGAGGGTGGGAGGGTGAGGTGAAAGAAAAGGAGGAATAGGTGGGAGCATATAGGGAGGGGGAGGGGAGGGTGTTGTAAGCTTCGTACATTGGTTCCGTTGTCTTGTTATGTGATCTACCGCTCGTCTTCGTTGAACTGGTATGTATATTTACGGGAGAATATTTCTCTCCCGTAACCCGGCACTCACATATTGGAACAGCTGGCGACAAGCTCAGCATGGTACGCAGCCCCTTCCCATCCAGCCTAGCTCTGATGCATTCTGGTCAGTCACTCTCCATACCACCCTCGGCGACATCAAGGTATGCTCCCTGCGCCGTAGCACCACGTCTGAATAACCTCCCCTTCCATTGCAGATTGAAGTCTTCTGCGAGGCTGTGCCAAAGACCGCAGAGGTGTGCCCGCATATCCGCGATCTGCAGAACCCTGGCCATCAGCACCGCATAGAACTTTCTCGCTCTGTGCGCCCCCGGCTACTACGATGGGTGCATATCTCACCGCAACATCAAGGGGTTCATGATCCAGACAGTGATCCCACTGGCTCAGGGAAGGGCGGACAGAGCATCTGGGGACAGCCATTCGCGGACGAGATCCGATCAACGCTCAAGGTACGTTGTAGCCACGTACTCGTGTTCAGACCTCTCTTTCACCTTTCATAGTTCAACAACCGCGGCCTCGTCACCATGCCAATGCAGGACCAGACGCAAATAAGTCTAATTTTTCATTACATACGCTAAGCAACCGCACCTCGACGGGAAGTACACCATCTTCGGCAAGGTTTGCTATTCCATCGGTGCCGCTGGCTATGATTTTGGCTCACACGTTCACTCCGCTTCCACTCTTCCCTGATGCAGGTGATCGACAGCGCAGATACCACCCTTGATGCAATGGAGCGCGCTCCGGTCAACGCGAAGAACAGGCCACCCACGGAGGTCAAGTTCATAGTGGTGCTGCGGGGGGGCGTATGTCTTCAATGACACTCATATACGGGCTGGAGCGCATGTCGACGAGAGCACCATTGGCGCGAATCTGCGAATAAGGGTGAGGCGACGACCATTCCGGCGACGAACCTTGCGTACATGCAGTGCACGGCGTCGATTGGTGTTGGCAACCCCGCGACGTACTACGACCTCGTCGTTGACACGGCCAGCTCGAATACGTTCACAGGATGAGTGTTGCTGTCGTGTGCCACAGTACATAGGTGTCAATAGCCTATAGGATCAGGAAGACGTATATCCGTACGAGCATGAGTATCCCCACTGGACAGGAAGTCAATGTCATGTACCCCTCGGGTTTCTTCTCGGAATATGAATGTATGTACGCTCGGTTGCCTCACTGTGGCGCTTTTGAATGCTAACGATCACTCCACCGTATCTCGTAGATGTTGACCAGGTGACTATCGCTTCTGGACTCGTCATCAAGAACCAGTCCATCAGTGACACGCTCGAGTACGCTGACTTTGAGTGAGTATTCTTGGTGACCTCAACGGTGTCAGACTCATGAGTTTCATATGATAGAGGTGTAGATGGGATCATCGGGGTCGGCCCTATGGACCTCACTCTCGATACTCTCTACCCGGGTGTCAATGCAGAAATCTGGACGGTGATGAACAATGCATACGAGCAAGGACTCATCTTGGAGCAGCTCCTCGGCGTGTCATTTGCACCGGCGGACAGCTACAGCGACACCAGTATGTTTTGCATTTAGATGCCACGGTTAATGCTAAAATGCTGTGGACAGATGGAGCATTGACATTTGGAGGTATTGATTCGTCTCTGGTATGACACGTCACGGTTCAATGCTAAGCTGCACGCATGCTGATGGCTTTCCCAGTACACTGGAGAGATTACGTATACTCCCGTCACGACAACGTACTAGTCGAACTACTACTGGGGCATCAATGTCACGCGCGCCACGTATGGAGATGCTGTGGTCATCCCGTATTCAGACGCAGGCATCGTCTACACGGGCACAACATGTGTGTCCATGTTATCTCTTCAGCTGCTCTTTCTGAAGGTGATTGCTGTGTGCAGTAATCTACATCGCCGACAATTTCCACTCCACCCACCAGAACACGATTCCTGGCACGTACTACGACAACACAGGCCTGATCATCATCCCAGAGTCGTCGGTCACGAGCATGCAGAACTTCGACTTTGAGATCGTTGGGACGACCTTCACACTCGACGCCGAGGCGCAGCGGCTCCCGCGCGACCAGAACCTCGCACGGGGCGTGGAGCCCGGATTGCACTATGGGTATATTAGCCCGATCGGCTCTCCCAGCGGTGAAGGTCTGGACTTCATCATTGGGCAGAAGTTCATGGGAAGGTACTATGCGGTGAGTGGGGACGACGTAGCTGTCCGTGCGAGTGATGGTGTCTGATGGTGACTCGCGATTTCAGTCCTTTGACATGGACAATCAGCTTGTTGGCTTTCCATATACGTGAGTTTTCTAAGAGAAGACAATGATAGTGTTACGACTTACTGGCAATCGCCGCAGTGACCATACGTACTCATAGTAGATGTCGTTCGAATACGGGGGAGGATGTTGACCGACTCTGTCCAAGGCTCATTGCCCTCTCTAACCGAGAGAAGTTTTCTCAAGTAACGCATATGTAAGTGCGACGGTCGCAGTCCTCTTGTCAATGCGTTGCCCAGATTAATTCGCGTTTAGTCTGCCAGACCCGTCATGTAGTGAGCCGGGCACTGTGGACCGCCTTGACCATCTCCTTGAGGGAGACAAGTCCTACGCTAGCGTTGATAAACTCCTTTCCGTCAACGATATAAGATTATTCGTCGGCGGTCAGGAATGGTCTCTGGATGGTCAGAGGCGACATAGACAGTCCCATTGAGCATGTACAGTTGGTCAAAGTCCACGCAAAGCCACATACACTTCTCCCAGTCACTGGGCAAGAGATAATTAGTTAAAGAGCAATGGTACATCTACACTGGCCACTTACACTTACGGTGGCATCGTGCAGCAATTTAGTCATGATACATAAGCAAGTAGGATAGTACAAGATTGAGCGAAAGGATGGAGGACGCGTCAGTTGCAACGGAGCATTACAACGCGCCACGGCTTAGCTTCGTCATGGACTTTTTAGGAATGATTATGTACGCACTCGGCTGATTCCGTAGATGCAGGAACCGTAGACGCAGTAAAAGTTTTCATCCTGCACGCTGTTAGGGCTCTCTTCGTCGAACCAACGCTTAGTATACAGTCCTTGTACACTCTTGCTGCTGCGCTACGTCTTAGAATCTCGAATATCGCACTCTCTGCTCCTGTCTGTTGTCTCTCATCCCTTCCCTAACATGCCTATTACATCAGTCCTCGGACCTCTACACTTGAGAAATACGTCAGATATGGAAGGTGTGAATACCAGCTTGAGCACCAGAACTAGAGATGCTGACTAATGCTAATCTAGCATCTGTAGTAGCTCCTGTGGAGGCTGCATTTCATTTCGAGAATTTACTACATCAAGCTGTTATGGATGCAGCGAGAGATGAGGGTGATGGTGCAGAAGGATATAACATTGATACAGTGTCAGAGGAAGTAGACACATTTCATCTGTCTGGCTACACTGTGAGTAGCAAATCATTTTGTGGCATCTCATAACTCACATTCTCTGATGATTAGGAAACTGGACATCAAGAGTTCAGTCATGGCATGCCCTCACAATCATCTTCCAACAATATTGATGCAAGGTCCAATGGCAGCAACATTGAAAGGGAGCGTTTAAAAGCTGCAGGAAAGGCCAGACGTGCAAAACATCGAGCAGAGCGGAAGCAGACAGCACCATATGGTTTTCACCAAGTTCAACAGACTGTTCTCAAGCACTATGTAGGAACAGCCACAGAAATTCCAACTAATCTTGGGACAGCACATCTCCGCCACACCAAGAATGCCTATACTGGACCACGGGAGAAAAATGGACCCCGTTCTGTATATAAGCTTGAAGATTTGGTTGAAGAAAAGTCTGATTTTGGATTTACTTTGATTTCATGGGATGGAAAGTGGGTGATTATAAAAAATGTTCAATATTTGACAGTTATTGAAGGACTTTTAGAAATCCACGGCCTATCACTGACAGTGAAGGAAGAGTTATTGGTGTCCTTGCAGGCTCTCCCAATGATCCTTCATGGCAGAGTGTGAACAGTGAAGCTTCAGCTTTGCTAAAGAAAGCTCAAACACAGATGCACTTTACTTCCAAGATGGAGAAGCATCTTCGGGGTGACTATCCAGCTTTATCTGTAGGTGTTTCATTTGGTGGAGGGCAAAAGGTATGTTTTTGTTTATTTGATCTTTAAAAGCTTGATCTGATAGAAAGCAATGTGCTGAAGTGTCCTGGAAACTTGGTTAACTTAAACCAGAATGCAATGGCTCTTGCTACACTTCTCAAAGACCAGACCTTCATTAGAATTGCTGGGTTTGCATCAGGTAAGTTATTATACTTGTTTTATCTTTTTCGAGTTGAGATTAAAATATTTATTAGCTGCATTCAAAATATGGGCTCCTTGCCTATATGATTACTATGTTGATCATTTGCGCCCTCTTTACGAAAAATACCCTCAGTTGCAGCGCAATTTTGACAATAGTGTCTTTCCTTGTGCAACATTCAATTTTGGACCAGCAGCATGCACAGTCAAGCATCGTGATGTGCAAAACCTTCCTTTTGGCTGGTGTGCCATCACTGCTTTAGGAGATTTTGATCCAAAGCTTGGAGGACATTTTGTGCTTTGGGATATGAAGCTTGTGATCGAGTTTCCTCCTGGAGCCACAATTCTGATACCATCAGCAATTGTGCAACACTCCAATGTTGTCATCCAATCTGGGGAAACAAGATACTCCGTTACCCAGTATGCAGCAGGTGGTCTATTCAGATGGGTTGATCAAGGGTTTCAGTCAATGTCTGCATATTTGATAGGATTAACAGATTCTGAGCAGGTTGATGAGAAGAGAAAGGCAGAAGAACGTTGGAAAGATGGCATTGGGCTTTTCTCCCACTGGTTATCATATCAGCAAAATGTAAACAGCTGTTCAAACTTTGTATAGGTCTAGTACAATATCGCTCTGTTTTGCTAGATTTGTTGGTACAGGGAAAACATCTCTCGGGCAATCTACTGCACATGCGTTCGACAGGCCGTTTCAGTGGATACCGCTGGGAGGCGTGCGTGATGAGGCGGAAATTAGAGGCCGTAGTGGACATATGTATAATGTCACCAGTGGCCCGGGGGAACATGCTTGCAACACCTGACTCCGTAGCGTTCGCAGCGTTGCCACCATTCCAGCCACCATTCCAGCCACGCCATTATGCGCTAAGGTCTGAACTTGACCCGCTGCTTGTAGAGGCAGCGCAGAGGCATGGTGAAGAAGACGCCAATGTAGGCGCAGCAGATGTTGAATATGATAAGGTGCCTGAAGGATCCATTTTATGGTCGCTGTCGGCTATTGGTAATGGTACACCTTACCCGACAGCGCTCTCTCACGAACAGAAACGACGAAAGTTACTCACACCAGTAGTCCACCTGCTTTGTCCATTCCTGGCGTGTGTAGAACATCGCAGCGACGCGGGGGTAATCGCGCCATCACAGATGCCAAGGAACAGGCAGCATACGACAAGCTGCCCAGAGTTCTTCACCGCAGCGTGGCAGAACAGGGCGATGGACCAGACAAAGATGTTTATGCTGCGAACGCGGGCACCATCTTAGGAGAAGAAGTAGAAGGGAGGACGAGCGTGCTGACCTGACCCATTTGCCGACCGGGAAGAGCTGCAGCGCGTAGTCTTGTGGGAATTCGAAGCTGAGGTGGCAGAGATAGAATACCGTGCTGAGCCAGTCGAACTGGTTTCAGTTCAGGTGTGCATCAGTCTTTCGATACGCATCATTAGTGTCAGGAAAGCAAATGGTGTTATAAAGTCAACATTACAATTGCGAACGAGAGCGACCTGACTAGATCTTAAATACATGTGAGAAGGACGAGAGACGATGAGACGATGAGACGAATATGGATATAGGAGAGACAGTGGAAATAAGTCTGGTGTCTCAGTCTTGGTCGGACTGATCCCTTGGGCGGTATTTTATGCCGCGGCTTTTGAGCTCTGCCTGCCTCGACATCCTTGGATATGCGGCCCTTGACACGCACGGCATACATGCCACGAACGTACTTTGCTAAGCATCGTTAAATCTCATAAGCAAACACACCTCTTGAAGCGAGCTGACTACTCAGACTCGTTGCCACCGCGCTACCCAGCTCTGCTCAGGGTCAATGACAGCAATCCAATCACACCATCGAGGTGCGTCGTCGTACACGCCTGGATGCGGTCAGGGTATCCTTTCATTTAATACTGTGCAATGATACATGAGCAGATGGCATAATATTCGATGAGAACAGCACCACGCACCTGCATGAGTTCCTCGCAGTTTGGGCAGCCGTGCTTGCAGAAATCAGCTGGTGTTTGGATAATGGAGCACAAGAGGCATCACAGTGCGTCACGAGCTGTTTCGCGCGCGGCTGTTGGAGGAATGGCTGCGTGGGCTTGCGACTGTGCTTGCGACACGTCTTCGCAACGAGAAACTGATCGAATTATGTGATTGTCCTCGAAGGCGCAGAAGTGTTCGATGTCCCATCTGGTGTGATTGCGTTCATCTCGCCTCTCCTGGTGGAGTATCTTTCAATGCGTTGGAGTGCCCAACTTCGGATCCCCGGCGCGCCTGCCGATCCGGGGGTCCAGGGTGATCCAGCACTCCGCTCCTCCTTCTCCTCGTCATCCGTCCATTTAACCTGTGCGACGACATGGCGGCCACTCTGCTCAAACGCGCAACTGCTGCTCATGGATCCAACTCCGAATCTCCCAGCATCAGCACTCTTTTCGCTCGCCGGTCAGAACGTGCTCATCACAGGCGCTAGTCGCAGTGCGTGTGCCTCCATTCCTCTCCTCCATTCCACTAGCCAGTACCCCTCCGCACAACTCCTTACCGATAACATCTGTCTTGTCCTCGCCAACTTACATCTTATCTCCCCTAGGCATCGGTGCTGCCTCCGCAATCACCCTCGCCGAGGCGGGCACCGATCTGTGCCTCGTCGAGCGCCCCACCACTGCCATGAAGAACACCGCGACGCGCGATGCGATCGCCGTCCTCGGGCGCACCGTCCGCGTCGTAGAGTGCGACCTCGCCGACCTCGAGGATGTCAAGACCGTCTTCGCGCGCGCACTCGACGCTATGGGGTGGCGAGATTCACGTCCTCGTCAACTGCGGGCATCCAACGGAGATCCCCGGCCGTCCAGTTCCCCGAGGCTGATTGGGACGATGTGCGTCTGCCTTCGTATCTCCTTGCCCTGTTCGCTTCTTTCATTTTCCTCTCCTTTGGGCTGTCGGAACCCAATTGGGTTTCGCGCGTTCGTTTGCGTTCGTATTTGCATTTGCATAAGCGTTTGCCTCTTCGTAATCTGCCGGCGTGATGTGCGCGCTTCTCTCTCTTTAGTGCGTCCTTTCTGCTCCGCATGTTTGGGTCCTCAGGTGCACACTTGCCTCCTACGCAACCGTACATGGTTCTTTTCCTACTCTATGCGTCTAGTCCCTAATGTTCACGCACTTCTCCGATTCGCGCTTGATTTGACTGACCGGCGCATTCAACGTAACCTCTTCTATCAGCGCGTATCTGCATGGTACCAGATGCCTGAACTTTCGTGTGTCGGCCACGTCTATCGCTCGCTCACAGTCGAGCGCCATTCCCTGGGGTGGCTGAGCGCGAAGGCTGATGGGAAGAAGGACATGAGAGCGGGCATGTGAACGCCCCGCCGCGTGTTTTCGGTGCATTCAGTGCAGCGAAACTGCTCTATTCCCATTGCCGACTGGGGTCGGAACATGCGGGACCTGCTATCCTGCTGTGGAAGCCTGATTCGAAAACGTGAAGTTGCGGGCCTCGTAGCAAGGCGGCTCGTAGCTCCTTGATAGCCGTTGGCAAGTAAGATGGCCCCAAAATCACGGCGATACGACATAGGGTCTCCCTAGTGAGGTCTCTCGTCTCTTGAGACTTGCTGCGGGAGATTTGACTTAGGACGGTCAGTAGCCTAGCTATCTGTGGCTCGCGGGTCTCCCGGGGTAAATGCTTCACGACCTGGATGATACCCACGGCGATCGCTATCCTCAGAGTGTCCTCAGTTTCATCACGCTTCTCTAAGTGTTGCAGGAGCCTTGGGACCAGCCGATGGTTGACCGCATCTGCAATGCGCGAGATCATTTGGTCCTTGACCTTGACCGATGTGGATTCGGTTTCCTCATCGACAGCGGTGTCCTCATTGTCTCCTCCCCTCTCCGACTCCTCAGCTGTGTCAGGGACAACCTCTTCCATCTGGAAATGGAAATTGTCCAGGATAGCTACGAGCGCACGGACGTATACCCGCTCAGACTCATCCTTGGTGCTAAATAGTTTCAGATAAGTCTGCGTGAGGGCATAATAAGCTCCCCAGTTGAGGTGCCGCGCCATCCGTCCAGTAGCTGTGATGCGCTCGTTCACAAGAGTATGGTCTATCGACACCTTAGCAACTATGAAATTGCCTATCAGAGCGATATAGTCATCCGGGTACCAGACCGCCAGATCACCCGTGCCAAAATCGCCTCCTCGGAAAGCCTTTCTCGTGGCCTCGGGATCTTTGAGTTACTGCGATCGGAAAAGATGAACTAAGTGAAGTGAGAAACAACGTCGTCAAGGTTCATTACTCACCTACTTGATATCTCCGACAGTCTCACCGTCATTCCAGAACATCAACTAGCTCAGAGTTTATATCGATCATCTCGCCCTCCTTCGCAAGGTACAAAACACGCGCTTCATCAGAGGAAACGAAGGGTATTCCTTGGCGAGTCATATACACAGCGCGATCTTCCAGGGAAAGTGTCGCCCACGAAGGTTGCTTATAACACCTAGTGAACGGTCCATACGTCTAGTTATCCGGGTAGGCCACACATATTAAGCATCATGATCTTCAATGAGTTCGAATCGCACTGACCTCATTGAAAAAAAAGCCAGAGCTCAGCGCATGTTATCAAAGGGCGATGCTCACGTCAAACCATACACGTGAAGAGGTTTGAGATTTCTCTCTTCCATTATTTCTAGTAAGTGTGCGGTTGGCGCTGACCCAGCAGTAATAGCAAGGACGGGTTTGCTTAGCCGTCTCGCCTGGGAAGCACTGACCAGAACAATCTATAATGACAACCGGCACACGTGAACTCTATGCGCCCCCTGTCGGAGCAGTTTAATGTCTGCATAGAAATCGAACCTAGAGTGCGTATGCACCTGCAATGCGGAAGCAAATGTCTCTGCCCGTGGGAACATCCACCAGATGCATGGAACATTGAGAGGATCCTAAGACAGTGCCACAGCGCGCTGAGGAACGAGGATGGCGAGGATCAAAACGCCTACCATAGGCAAGTAGAGTCTCGGTTCATGCTACATGTTCCAGAAGGTCATGTCGCGATCGTTAGGCGGGACGACTGGTTCTGCGCTCACCCTGTTTAATAGGCGTTTGCGATAGCCGCGAGATATGAACCTAGTAATATGTCAGGTTTGCGAATCGTATGCCTGTACTGCAGTGTAAAGCTCACCTCTGAGGGTGGCGACCACAGTGGCTGCTGCTGTGTTGTCCTTTGGTTTCGAGTGTGACTGTATGCTTGAGACTTTATGATAACAACCATTCCCGCAAACTGCTATACAACAGATAACAAACTTGTTCGGATGCATCATTGAGGGCCGTGAAAGCAGGCGTAAAGGCCAACAACATAGCTAGCATCTCCAAGATCTCATCATGCGGCAACGCCCTCAAGTCAACACAATCATGTCCTGCGCGAGGCACAGATGCCGGGATCAACGAAGATCCTGCTCCTGCAGCTGTGTTCCAACGACATCGCGGTTGTCATCCAAAAGCTGAATTATACTTAGGACATGGACCTGCTGATAACAGCTTCGCTATACGTACCGTGAGACAATCTGATGCCAACCGTATATTCCATCCTAGTTGGCATCAAAACTCCGTCATTCTATGACGCAATGCTATGTCAGGCATCTGCAAGAAACTTCCAGATCCTATGCACGTACGATCGCGATATCCTCATAGATGCCGCGCCAAAGAGTTCAGCAGTACCCTTGATGCACTCATCGCCTACTAGTATGGGGATGAGGACAACATTGTCGCCTTCCCAGGTGATGTCTGCGACAGTGTCTCCCTCGGCATCCTCCGTGAATGTCATGTCAAGCTCAGACGGGATCATTGGACATTTCTCCAAGGCTCGGATTGAGGTGAAATTGCTGTTGCTTGCTTGCGATCCGGAGCGGGTGAGCCGTGGGTGATGTGTTTTAGTACGGAATGCGAGATCGCCGACTGCGTCGTCAAGATTCGTGGACTGGAAGACGTCCGTGGCCATAAATTTGCGCAGCATATCGGGATCCGGCTGATAGAGGTGGCTGATGCAGGACGTGGGATGGTTGCGAGTATGATGGCAAATCATGAGTTTCAACAAGGTCATTTCCGCCTTAGATAGGCGGGATAAGCGAGAGCTACGTGCGCCCTATAACGTGCGAGGTTCTCCCGGTCTGGAATACGCCACTCAGCCGGAAGGTCCGCGCACATAGTTGAAGGTCCGCGCACATAGTTGGGAACGTCCGCGGTCGTCATATTTCTATCGAATCGGAAGAGCTTGGTCCCGATGACAATTGCGCGTGCATAACGCGCGTGAAAGGAAAGCCGCATGGATTGCACTACTAGGCCAGAAGAGGCCATGAAGGACCAAGTGAGGTGCGGAGATCATGATGACGGCCGAATCCGCTGATCGATCTCGATCATCTCCTAACCGGCTCGGAGCTGCAGACGACCAGCAGTGAGAAACGTGATCGCATCTGGACAGCCCATATATACGAGTTGCCGGCAAGCGCGTCGCGTAGCTGGGAGTTGTACTGCATATATGCATGCTAGCGGACAGATATGGAGAGAGGACTGGGGGTGTGAACGAGTGGCTTGATGAGCTGGACAATGTAATTTATCTGTGAGTTTCCGTAAGATGACAACATCGGCATGATGAGAGCACAGTGACTGGCCTCTATATCATAGGTGAACACAGCAGAACCATTTCCAGTGAACGTATTCGGACCTACGCACATGGGCACGGTTATGGCTGGCAGCCCGGGCCACCAGTTCGAATTGAGTTCCCGCATCATTCGGGGGAGCATCGCGCTCAGCTCCCGAGTCGTGGCAGGGTTGCGTGAAAGCTGCTCCGTGCGGCCGTCGACGTGGGCCAATGCGTTTGCACGCTCGCGCGTGGAATTCTGCAGCGCCTACGTGGATTGCTGGAGTTGCGCCTCGAGCTCCGTAATTCATTGACAGTGCTGATCGTTGTTCCTCCGGAGCTGGAGAATGGTATTTTCGAGGTCCGAGGTGCAGGCACGCAGCTGGTCCTCGATCGCGGCACGCGCTCTGCGTCCCTCTTTAAGTCCGACGAGGTGTGCCTGCAATTCTCCAGTGATGCGCGTCAGCGTCGCCGCCGTCTCTCGCCGTTCCTCCTGCACCGTGCTGAGCATCTCCTCGAGCTTGTTGTGCGCGATGCGCTCTGCTTCTAGCTTGGATGTTTTGGTATCAAGCTCGGCCGCTGTCTGTGCTAGCGTGTCCTGCAAATCTTGGTTGGCCGACTGGGTGGCAGTCAGTGTCTGGTGGATGCATGCCAGGGAAGCTCGTATTGTGTCCAGCTAGGACGCCTTGGTCTCGAGCTCTGCTGCGGTGCACGATAACGCATCTTGCAAGTCTTGTTTGGCCGACTCTGTGGTAGACAGCGTCGCTCGGACGCTTGCGAGAGCAGCACTCGCTGCATCTGTCTCGCAAATCTGTGCTTCCAGTTCTGCTCGAACGCTCGCGAGAATAGATTTGAGCTGTTGTTCCTCTTGCTGCGACGCACATAGCTCTCGCTCTAGCCCGGCCTGGAGATCGCGCGCAGCGTCAGCTTCAGCGATCCTCTCTGCGATCTCTTGAGTTTCATATATTGCCCCTCGATCTTCTCGCGTGTTGCGCGGTCCGTCTCTATCTCCGCTGTCTTCACGTCGAGCGCTCTCACATCTGCAGATGTGCAGTCTCCAGCTCTCGCTTCTGCTTGTGGGCGTCATATAGCTCCTTTTCGATCGCAGCCCGAGATCGACGTTCTGCATCTACTTCGGCCACCTTAGACTCTGTCAGAGCTGTTGCATTCTCCAACTGACGTGCAATCATCGTCAGTCCAAGCAGCAGCCATTATCTGCTACGATACTCACCTCTCTTTGCACGGCCGCGAACCCGTTCAGCGTCTCGTTAAGCTCAGCTCGCGTCGAAGCGAGCCGTTGTTGTGTGCCAGATAGCTCCTCCTCGGCCCTTACTTTCGCTGCCTCAGCAGTCGCTTTGGCCTCTTCGGCCTCGAGCAGAGCTGACTTCTGAAGCTCGATCGTCGCTGATGATGAACGTATTCGCTCTTCCAGGGAATCGATTGCTTGAGTTCGGGTCTCAATCGTGAGCGCGGCTTCTTGGAGCTAGGTCGCCCCACGTCAGAGAAGGCCCGCATTTCATGAGAAGTATCGCACCTTGCCACGGAGAGCTACAAGAGTCTCGATGTCTATGAAAGAACCTGTCTCGCGAGCTAGAGAAGGTTCTTCGCTGCTATGCTCTCCTCTCTGAAGAAACAAAAAGTTGATTTCAGTTCTCCTGCAAAATTTGTAGGAGGCCTGAAGAGTGGTGCGCGTAAACCATGCTGGATGGATACGGAAAGCAGTACCACATATATGGGACGGAATGATCACAAGTTAATATTTCAGCAGGCATCACGGAGCTTCATATACGGGATTTCATGAAGAGGTAGCTGCGTATAACCGAAGAGAGGGAGAAATGAAGCATCGATGAATTGGCCAACGTCGAGGTCTGCGCGCCTAATGCGACGTGATAGCCACATGACTGTATGTACACGTGTACCGCGCCTACACGCGGAATTCGTCGTCCGTGTTCCTTCGTTCTTGCATTGTATTGTACTGATTCCGCCACCGACGGGCTAACCACAAGCCCTCTCTCTCTTTCTCTTCTCTGTCGTTCTTCCTGAATACTCTGGACTAATCGCTGGTACTCTCCGGGCGACTTGTACCGCCAAGGTGCCAGGAAAGGGCCTCTTACGTGATCCTACACGCACAACCTTATTCTCCAGTTGAGCGCTCGTCCAGCTCTCATCTTCTCTTGGCCACAGCGCAACTTGGTGGCTCGCCTGCACTCTGCTCTGACTCGTATCCTGCTTTGAGCGACATTACTCTAGACAGAAAACTTCGTTTCGACATTCCGC